ATCTCCCTTATGATGAGGGATGTTCAGCATTTTTTCATATGCTTATTGGCTGTTCATATGTCTTTCTTAGAGAGTTGTTTATTCAACTCATTTTCCTATCTTTTAATTGGGTCAATCATTTTCTTTCAAGTAAGCTGCTTGAGTTCCCTGTGTATTCTGGTTATCAGTCCCTTGGCTGAGGCATAGTTAACAAAAATTCTCTCTTATTCCGAGGGAATTCACACTAATTACTGTGTCCTATGCTGTGCAGAAACTTGTTAATCTGATGTAATCCCATTTGTCTATTTTTGGGATTGCCTGGGACATTATTGAAGGGTTGGTAATGTTCTAGTCTGATTGCAGTGGGGATCACACTACTGTATATGTTTGTCAGAATTCATTAAATAAAGTATTTCTAAAACATCAATAAATCTGACTTCCAGAAAATTATTATTAAAAATGTACAGGCTGCCTAGCTTGGAGTAGTACAGTTGACTGACAGTTTCCACTTGTTAACTCTTTATTTTAATAGTGTTAAATTGACAAATGATAGCTGTATATATTTACAGGTGTAGTATGATTTTTCAATACATACATACAATGTATGATAATCAAATCATAGCAATAAAAGTATCCATTATCATTACTTTGTGCAATGAACATTACTTTCTTCTAGCTATTTAGAATTGAAATTGTTAACTCTTTCAGCCTCAGCAAATAAGCTAATGTCATGTTTTTGTTTTTGTTTTGTTTTGTTTTGTTTTTGAGAGATTTTCACTATAGGGCGCGTGCGCTCGCCAGACAGACAGAGAGAGAAATAGAGACAGAAAGCGAGAAATCACCCCCAAGGGGGGATGGTCACGCCACAATCCCTTCTCCTCCATTCTCCTCTCAGGATCTCAGGCACGCATGCACACACGCCCAGTGTGAGTTTTAAGCCACCAGGTCCGGGACGCGAACCGCGGTCGACTACGTGGGAGTCCAGCGACATAGCCATTACGCCAACTGCTGGTTCCCCAATGTCATGTTTTTTCAAGGTGATCCTCACAAATCACTGAGCAAGACAATGTTCAAAGACAAAACCATTTCTACCAAATAGGAGAGCCTCCCTAACAGGTAAATTGGGAAGTAATAAACAGATTGTATCTGGAATAGCCTGAAACCTCAAGATGGAGCTTGCAGACTGGATCATTAACCTCTCTAGTAAGGAGGTTCCTATCTCTGGAGGTAACTGCAGACAGCCACTATGTAAGATGGTGGTCTAACTTAAAATATTTCATATGCAATAAGCTGGAATGCCATGCCACTAGAAAGGAATCTCCAGTCAATAGGATGATTCATGCATTGGAAATTAATGGGGGAATGATCAATATAAGAACTATGGAATTAGACATTGCATTGATATACTATAGGTTAATAAGAGAGATGGTGTTCTTGAAAATTTTGACCACCCTAGACCTTTGAATCTTTGGGACCTGAAGAGATGGTCCAATATTCTTCATTAGAAGTTAACAACCCCTCTCATTCCCTAGCAGCAATGCAAGAATAAAATATGGAAGTCTTTCTCCCTCAGAACAGTATGGGGCCACTTTAGGAGACAGTCCCACTTCCTTTATCAGATTTCCAGAGTGTAGCATTTTGATTAGTGTGACAGAAGATGCAGCAAATTCACTGTTAGGGGGGCTCCCAGAAACCTGGAACACACAATGGCCCTCACTGAGTACAACTGAAATGCCTAAATTGCAGAGATATAATTTCAAGAAGGAATTAGAAGGTTTAGGGAAAATGAAAGTGCTGAAAGAGACATATCATATGAGACCAGAAGATCCATGAGAAGATTGTGGTCCATGGGAGAACTCAGTGGATATCCAGTCATTAAGGCCATCAAAAATGTGCTAGTCAGAGTTGTACCAGAATCAGCAGTGATTTGGGTGGTGATTCTCCAATAGCCCAGGCTGAGTGCAGAAGAGCCAGTCATAGACATCGGCTAACTGCAAGCAATAGGTGTAACACCTTGATGTGACAAAAGCTAAATGCTAATACTTAATAGAAAGTCAGAGACTTGTACTTACTGTAAAGACAAGCAAAGTCACAGTGGCCACCAAGGACACTGCAGAACGTTATAGAGGTGGTCTGTAGAACATGATATTCCTTGGGAGTATGTCTCCTCAGACTCTTCCCTATGAAGCTATTGTAAGCAACATATTCCTTGACACCAGTTCTTTGTAAAATATGTGCTCTATGGTTGCTAAATCAGAGTGATTTTCTTGGAGTTGCTCACCTGCACATTAGAGGAGTTAATTTAAGATACTCTGAGAGTAGAATCAAGTGTTTCCAAGTTAGTACCACTTGGCAGGCAATTAGGAAACTATGCTTACTTTCAAAGCGATCCTCCAGCTAATAAAGGCACAGGGCATATTTGGCTCTGAGACACCCTCTGCTGGTCCTGTCATCAACAACACTAAAGTGTACCTAACACGGAAGTGAACAAAGTGACTCCCACATGGTGTAAAAGGCTACATATGGGACCCATCCCCTTACAAAGGCAACAGAGAAGATCTCAGATGAAAGGGCCTTCCAATCCTAGCAGCACTGGGTAGGGATTAGCTTCCCATGACTGGCACTAAAGTAACCTGATGACTTCCAGCTCTGGCCAGTTAAAGAGACAATTGCAAGGAAATACCCACTTTGATCCTCAAACACAAAATGAACATGTGACACAACTGGAATTTATACTTTAAATATGACCAGCTCCTTTTGATATGAAATAGATTAGATCTCTTATAAACTCATATATAAATGTATATGAATTCCCTGTAAAATCTCACAAAAATCTTCCTATTTCTCCTAATTGATAGACATTTATTTTCTAAAAACAGAAGACTATCCCTGATGTTTTATATAAGACACATAACACTGTACACATATAATTTGTATCATTATAATTTTTAAATAATACAAGTCTAGAGTAACTATGTTTAGTAGGTTATCAAGAGTAACTATGTTTAGTAGGTTATCAAAGTTTTGTATAGAATTACCTCTAGTGACTAGAATGCCCCTCTCCAGGGATGTTTATTCCCTAATTCCAAGAACCTGTGAATATATTACATTACAAGCCAAAAGTGACTTTGCATATGTAATGAAGGTTATAGACCTTAAAATAGATTATCCTGGATTAACTAGATGGGCCAGTGTGATGCCATGAGCCCTTAAAAGGGGGAGATCTTCCTCTGACTGGTCACAAAAGATACTGCAGATGGAGATGTTGGAAAGATCTAAATGGTGAGATGGTCTTGGCCCGCTCTTGCTAGAGGGAAGTGGAGGGAGTGCATGAAAAGCAGGAAGTGGAATGTGAGCAGCTTCTAGGAGCAAAGACAGCCCTCTAATGACAGCCGATGAGGGAATGGAGACCTGGGTCCTACAATCACAAGGCTAATGACCTGAATGAATACAGAAGCAGATTCATCCTCAGAGACTCTAGACAAGAACCCAGTCCAGCTGACACCAGGATTCCAACCTTCCCATACAATGAGCAGAGGACCCAGCTCATCTACATTGTGCATACAGAACTATTAATAAGATAAAATAAATCTGTGGGGCGTGGAAGCTACTCACTGTTTGGTAATGTGCTATGGCAGTAACAAAAATCTAACACATTACCATGTCAGTATGTTAACTTCTAATATTCTGTGGTTCTGAAACTCAATGACCACCAGAATGGTCACTTAAAATTGCACATTCTCAGGACCAATGTACTTTCTTTTTTTTTTTTTTTTTGAGAGATTTTCACTGTAGGGCGCGTGCGCTCGCCAGACAGACAGAGAGAGACATAGAGACAGAAAGCGAGAAATCACCCCCCAGGGGGGATGGCCACGCCACAATCCCTTCTCCTCCATTCTCCTCTCGGGATCTTGGGCACACACGCACACGCGCCCGGCGTGAGTTTTAAGCCACCGGGTCCGGGACACGAACCACGGTCGACTACGTGGGAGTCCAGCGACATAGCCATTATGCTAACTGCTGGTTCCCAGGAACCATGTACTTTCTACTACAAAATGTTAGTTTTTATGAGTACATGGAAAATTTGTACTCACAAATACTGGTTATTTTTAAAGATATTATCTAAGAATAATTTACTTATTTCTCAGTGATTATCACTCCAAAATGTACAATTTAATGATTTTTTTAATTAAGTAATTACATTGTCAAGTCTTTATAAAACTATCTTATCAATTTGACGTAGTTCACTTTAGATAAATGTCTCTTTCATTGTATGTTTAATATATTTTATTAGATTTATATGTCATATCACCACATATTAATCATATTAACAGAAATTATTGATTGTTAATAGAGTTGAAAGAATCAATGTTTTTTTTGGGGGGTGGAGGTTTATACTAGAGGGCATGTGCACTCAACAAAAAGTCAGAGAGACAGAAAGCGAGAAATCACCACCCCCCCGGGGGACGGCCATGCCACAATCCCTTCACCTCCATTCTCCTCTCGGGATCTTGGGCATGCACGCACACGAGGCCAGCGTGAGTTTAAGCCACCAGGTTCAGGATTCAAACCACAATCGACTACATGGGAGTCCAGCGACATAGCCATTACGCCAACTGCTGGTCCCAAAAGAATCGATGTTTTAAAAAGTATGAGAAGATAAATGATAACAAAGATTTATAGGCCTCAAAAGTACAATGTGAAGCAAAAGTGACTCATATTTTTAGTATTTAAGTAAATGTATAAAGCCAATATTACTGAGTTGCTTTTTAACAGGACTTTATTGATACGATAGTCATATTTTGGTATTCATATTTCTTAAATTAGTCATTTAAAATTGCACATGACTTTTGCAAGCCTCTTATAATTCCTCAAATTCTTAATCTGTAGAACACATGCTGGGATGTTCAAAGTTTACCTGTTCCTACAATGTTTCTAAGTTACAACAATACCAACAAAATTAGATTTTTACAGACTCTAGACTATAAAACAAAATCTGGATTTTGAACATGGACACTTACTTTTTCTGAGTCCTTTCAGCCAGCCTTGCAATCTCTATAGCTGCCTTCCTTGCTTCAAAATCTTCCCTTTTCACTATCTCTCCAGTACCTCGGTAGCCTAGCTCCACCAGCTGGCGAGCCAGGGTTTCATCCTAAAAAAAAAACAATAGGTCGATGTGTGGGTGAATAATACATTGTATTTTCTCCATTGTATCCATCCAATTGTTTGCAATGACAAATTAATTTATTATTTTTAAATGACATAAGATCTATTATATCTGAAAAACTACAATTATTTCTAACATCTGATTTGGTCTTTCCTATCCCATAGATACAAGAAGAAAAAAAAAAGAAAGAAATAACATCAACCACTCAATTTTTTCTAAGGGGTTGGAGGACAAAAGTCTGTTGAGCTTTTAGTCACTTTATGAGAACAGCTGTAAATAATTAATAAAATATCTCTAAAACAATAAAATTAGAGACCAAAGTATTCATACAAGAAAGACTCTTTAAAACCCATTGGCACACAAAGAGAATTCAGCCGCTTTTTGAAAAGTTCAACATTTCAGAGACTTACTTCCTGGAAGTCAATTAACTGATGACACAGAACATTATAACTTCAAATACAAAATAAAGAGGAGCAGATGTATTTCCTACTTAATGGGAAAGATATTGTTTCCATATAATGTCAGTACCAATAAAAACAAAAAAGTAGAAACCAAACAAGATAACCACAAAAAGCTTCATATTGGAAAAAAACAAATGTCTCCACAGTATTTTAATGCCTTTTATATTTCAGTTAATTTAAGAACTGTCTCACGCATTTTTGTCACTTACATAGTATATTCAAAGGGAATGCTGTTTCCTGTGATTTCAAGGGGTATCATTTTACCTTAAGTTACTAGTATAAAAATTAAAGTATTGCAAACAAATGTATATTCATTTTTATCATCTCAGTTCAATATAAAATATTTGAAATGTAGTAAAAACATTGTATGCTTTATTGTTTTAGACTCTTAACTAGGACACCAATGTTGAATGCAAGAACTGTCTAGCAAATAAACAAGAAAACTTAAGATGCTCAGTTAATAATCTATTCAGCCCTCAGTGGCTACTTGAAAGTTGTAACTATTCAAACCAAAAAGTAGGTACTATAAACCTAGAAGCCTGCTACTTTTCATTGTTAAGCATTAAAAGCAAATATTGAACTCTGTGTAGCAATGTGTATTTATTGGCAAGCTATCACAATGCAAAAGCACCAGGCCTTGGAATGCCAAGGCTATTGATCTTGTTTCTGAGATGTTCTACTTAAAAGACATCTCTATTCCTACACCCGTTAGTATGAACCACAAAACTGAGCAAATGACTCCACCTAGTGGAACTAATCCATAATAAAAAAAAGCAATGCAGATTTGAGGTTAGATTTACAAAAGTGAGATCATTCAGTATGAATTTTCTTACTTATAGTACTAAAAGCAAAGTTATAGAAAGGACTCAGCTCAAGATTGCAAAACACTTCTATAAGAATATAATTTTCTTGTGGTCAAAATAGAATTTTATATAATAAAGACTATAGAAAAGTTGCTGTATTTATTTTTTGTATTAAGTAACATGCAACATTGAACTACTAATTTAAGAAATACAGGCCAAAATATGACCCTCATACCAACAAAGTCCTGTTAAAAACTCAATAATACTGGTTGTGTGTGTGTGTGTGTGTGTGTGTGTGTGTGTTTATGTGTTTGTGTGTATACACATTGCATTCTCGTGTTCCTTACTTCGGTTACACAAAATCATTTGGCTAGTTCCTGCACTTACCAGTACAAATTTATATTGCAACAAATATCGAGATCTATTGAGAACACAATCAGAAAAATGGCATTGGTTGTGTTACCTACCATATAATGCCATACCTGGTAGAGCCGTATTTTTTTTTTTAGAGAGGTTTTTGCTATAGGGCACATGTGTTCACCAGAAAGACAGAGACAGACAGACGGACAGAAGGCAAGAAGTCACCCCCCAGGGAGGATGGCTACACTGCAATCCCATCTCCTCTTGGGATCTTGGGCACACATGCACACGCACCCAGCTTGAGTTTAAGCAACAGGGTCCAGGACTCAAACTGCGGTAGACTACATGGGAGTTCAGCAACACAGCCATTACGCCAACTGCTGGTCCCAAAGGATAAGTCATCTCTCCACTATAATGTATCTCTTGCACCTCTGTGAATATTCTAGTTAAGAGCAAAACTACTAGCCCAAGAGAAATGTAACATCCAAGATTATCCCAGGAATCTGAGCCTTTCTTAGGGTTTTGGGCTTAAAAATGGAATCTTGACTTGCAAATTCTGTACAAATTTTTCTCAATTCTCAAAATAATTCTTAAGGAACACAAAGAAAGATAAAGTCTCACTCTGTGCCAAACAAGAAACTCGACAGCTTCCCTGTTGCCAAGATACAGACGTTTTCCTCCAACTATGAGATACGTAAACTTGAATTAGAAAAGAAAATCAGTAGGCTCACTTGAAAATTAGTTTTTCAAAACTGTGTATCTATTCTCCATTTTCTGCCCTAGGATACAGAAATGTGAAACCTATGACAATTACAAAGTTGGTGGCTGCCCACCCACCTCACAATTAAATAGCCCCTTTTAGGTTCATTCTTTTTCTCTTTTCAAAAGTAACATGTGGTTATTATGAAAAACTTGGAGACATAAGACAAATATATCACCCATGGTTTGACCACTTAACCACTGATATCTTGGAGCACAGCATTTCAGTCTTTTCTCCTGGTACGTGTTTGTGTGTGTTGAATTTCTTTGACTAAAAGTAGAATCATGCTGTGAAAAGTCTCTTGTGGCCTACTTCTTTTGACATTTAACAATACATCTTGAACATCATTTCATTAAGTACACCTACAATAAAATTTTAGTGATTACATATTTCATAAACTTGTAAGGACAAGTACTGGACATAGTTCACTACTGTGCCTTTAGCTCAATGAAAACGATTCAAAATCCTAATCTGATTTGCATTGCTTTGATTACTAGTGAGGGTTTACCATCTGTTCACACATTTCCTGGTCATATGCAATTCTTCTTTTTGAACTATCTGTTTTGAATTGTTAAATATCCCTTTGCTTATTTATTACTAATCTGTAACAATTTTATATGCATACTAAATATATTAGCTAAAGGTCTGCAAAATATCTCGAAATATTTTTCCTAGGTCATTTTTTTCCTTTAACTTTTTATACTTTGGTTTTTACAATTTAATATTCAGAACATTAATATACTTTGATGTCTAGTACTGTGAAGAGAAATAAGTATTTAACTTTTTCAGAAAGTTTTGTCAATCCAAAATATTGGGTCTTCAGTATGCATTTCTGCATAGAAAAACATACAAAAATAGGTTATGATTTTCCCAACAACCTAATGGATAGCTATTCCATTAATTGTTGAACACTGTTCTTTTCTCTACTGATCTGAAATTCTACAGTTTCATATATTTAATTCTTAAATACATTAAGCTCTGTTTCTGAATTTCTGTCATGCACTATTGATTGGTCTCTCTGCTCTCTCAATTCTATCAGAGTGTAGATATGGCTGTCTCAACTACAACTCTTTTGTTCCTACGGATTTCAAGTCGCACTTGAATTGGGTTATTGCTGCCAGGAGCAACCACTAGGCTTAAGATAAGGAGGTCAGAGTTGGGAGTAGTGGGAGACAATGTATATTCGAATGCCATCTTTCACCATTTGTTTTTTTGTTTTTTAATTTAAATTTATTTGTTTACATTCATTCACTGTACATCATTATAGCATACAAAATGAGATTTTCCATCCAGAGTACACTGTGTATTGTCTCAATCAAGCACATCAAGATACATATTATTGTCAACAAATAATTTTCCACTTCTTGTTTCCTGTATGTTTTGCTTTTATTCCCCCATCCTTGATTCCCTATCTCTTACCGTCTGCCATCTCATACTCTCTTCCCACACTGTCTCTAGTATCTATGTTTACTTTCTATACTGTTCCCCATTTTTTTATTGAATAACTAAATATCTTAATTAATCTAAATATTTTCATAGCAAACACAGCTGATACATACATTTCCATGAACACAAGTCTAACTTTAGGCATCCTATAAAGTAGCACCTAGCTGGGGCTACATAGCTTACTGCAGTCATTGAATAGATATTTTTTTTTCTGAAACTTTTTTTTGTAACCTAATTTACATTCTTTTCCTAAGCATCATCACAGCATACAAAATGTGATTTTCCATCCAGAATATACTGCATAGTGACTTAATCATGCATATCATTATCCAAAATTTTCCATTTATAGTTCCTAGAATTTTTTACCCCTCCTTCAGACCCTATGTCCTTTCCCACCCTCTTCTCCCACTGTCTCTGGTGTCTACAATTGTCTTCCATTCCTTTTCCACCCACACTGTATTGATCACACAATTTCTTAAATAATCCAACTACTTTCAATGGTAAGTTCACATGATACTATTAAGAAAACCAGTTTTAACTTAAATTATAGAAATGCTAAAGAACTTTTCTTAAAGCCAGGAAATAGGTTGGATTCTGTTCAAATGGTAGGTGCATGAACTTATCAGTCTCATGTACTTTATCTTCTGTTTTGGTTCAATTTTCCCGATTAAATTCTGGGATATAATATTCAACTCCAGACTTGTCCCTACGATTAAGTTGGCC